GAGTAAATGAGAATCTATAAAATGGCACTTTTTGGTACTTTTTTGTTCTTCAAAAGGTACATTTTTGAATTTTCTATAATATTGAACCTAGAAAGATGAAATTAAGCATGTAGAGGCTGAAGTAAGTGAGAATCTATAAAAGTGTACTTTTTGGTACATTTTCGTTCTTCAAAAGGTACTTTTTGAATTCTCTATAATATTGAATTTAGAAGCATGAAAATAAGTATGTAGAGCCCGGAGTAAGTGAGAACAAATAAAAGGGTACTTTAGTACTTTTTCGTTCTTCAAGAGGTACATTTTTGAATTTTCTATAATATAAAATTAATCATGTAGAGCCTAAAGTAAGTGTGAACATATAAAAGGGGATTTTTGGTACTTTTTCGTTCTTCGAAAATGACTTTTTTTTTGAATTATCTATAATATTAAACCTAGAACAATAAAATTAATCATGTAGAGCCTGGAGTAAGTGAGAACATATAAAAGGGAATTTTTTGGTACTTTTTCTATCTTCAAAAAGGCCATTATGATTTTTCTATAATATTAGATCTAGAACAAAGAAATTAAGCATGTAGAGCCTGGAGTAAGTGAGAACATATAAAAGGGGATTTTTTGGTACTTTTTCGATCTTCAAAAAGGCCTTTTTGATTTTTCTATTATATCAAACCTAGAACAATAAAATTAAGCATGTAAAGCCTGGTAAGTAAGAACATATAAAAGGGGATTTTTCCTTCTTCAAGGGATACCTGGTGCTATGCACACACAGCTCCCTGATTAAATGAAAATCCATATCTGGTACTTTTCGTTTTACAAGTGGTATTTTTAGATTTTTTATAATAAAATTCGTACTGATTGTTTTTTTTTTTTTAAGACATCATGGTGAAGGGTATATAAGATTCGTCACAGCCGAACATAGAACTCTTACTTGTTTTCTATATAATTGTTTTATGAAATTAATTATTAATAGTAGGACGGGTCTGGTATATAAGGCGGGTGAGGCAAATCTTTCCAACCGCGACCTTCTAAACACATGGCTCAGCGTTGTCATGTTGGATAAAAGTTCATCACGTATGGTAGCATAATATGGGCGTTTTTAACAATGATCGCTTCAAACGAACCCGTTGCTTTCGATACAGTTCCTTGTGATTGTCGGAATAGTCATTTAGAATATCTTATTCATATCCACAAAAATTTCCATAATAGTTCTAGTTGAAAAACTTGTTGAGTATTGAGTACATACCTAATTAATTAAAAAATGACTTTTAACATAACATTCACAAAACCATTAATTCAAAGACAACCACATTCTACAAGATCATATTTAAGCACCTTCCATATTTCCCAAAATTTTTTTCTAATGCATTTTTGTTCAAATCATTTGTACATCTTATTATACATAAATATCAATCAATGCATATAAAATTTTCAAAATAAATCAATCATAATTTCACATTTTACATATTAACGAATACATTTAAAATTTTTAAATTCTCCTATTTAAATTTCAATATTTCATATTTATCTCATATATAACACCTTGACGTTTACGGTAGATAGTAGTAGTAGATCTGGTGAAAAGAAAAAAAATCTCTTGTGTTGTTGTAAATAATTATAGAATTTTTACAGTTAACGAAGCATAAAATCATTCGTGTTCAGTTTAGTTTATAGAATTTTTCTTTCTCCTCTATTTCCATCTAACACCATCATGCCACACATGTACAAACATACATACATATGTATCTAAATATGTTTGTATATCGTTTCATTACAACTACAAAAAGTCATTTTCCCACACTTTTTTGTGGTAAGGTTATTATAGCTGTTGTTATTTTTGTGTTTTTTTTTCTTCTGCTTCTGTGTTATGAACTAAAACAAATTTGCTAAAGTGTTGGTAGCATGCAACAAATACATTGATATGCTTTTTACTTACAAATTTACACACATGCACTAGCCCTGCAGTTAGGGGAAGTGGATATGAAATTAGGGAAACTCAGATAGTTATGTATCTTAATTTAGATTACTTTGTAAGGTACTATACAGAATAGTTACACTGTATACTTTCTAGATTACTTAGGGATATTAAAGTGATTAGTAATTTCTTCTCTACAGTACAAAGAAATGAAAAATTAACTTTGCAATATGTATATTGCTTTTAGAAAGTTAAGACATTGTTTTCCAAGGAACAGTACAGAAAAGTTAAACTGACTACTTTCTAGACTACTTAAGGACGCTAAAGTAATTAGAGATCTTCATATTACAAAAAGGTTTAAACTTGTAAAATTACTCAAAAATATATAAAATCGAGACAACTAAGTAGTTAGACATTTGAAAGAATACTCCCCAAAAAGAGGATACCTTGATAGCTTATAAAACTGCTGGGTAGTAACTGTGTATGTAATGTAAACAAATCACAGAGAAAGTGAAAATATACAAGTATTTTAGATTATTTACAAGGTGTAGATTTTTCAAATGATAATTTAAAAATATAAAGAAATTAAAAAATTCATCCATAAATATTTGTAGGTAGAAAAATCAATAGGAAATAGCAACACTTAACCTAATAGGATAAGTTTCTGTTTGAAATTAATAAATGCTAAAATTCGTTTCAGTTTTAATTGAAGTGACCCTTTAGATTCTCTTAAATTTTAGATTTTCTGCTAATTTAAGAAGAATTCTTAACAGACGTTGAAAATTCAGAACTCTTGTACATGTTTCAGTATTTTTGATATCGAAATATAGTGCAATAAGTCAAACTATACAATAAGTAGTCCATAGGTTAGGTTAGGTTTACACAGGTATTCGGCTTTACTTGGGTCCATGTTGATCCCTTTGTAAAAATACCTGTAAGATGAAGAAAAGAGAAGAGAGGGAGAGATAGAGGAGAGTGAAAGAACAGAGACAGTTGCAAAGAGAAGGAGATGATGAGAAATGAGAAAGCCAGGGCAGCTGCCGTGGATGAGTAGTGTGAGTAATAGGATTCACACCCATTTTGACAAATTAATGAACTCTAGAAGACGTTCTAATTGAATGTTTGACAATTCGGTTAGATCACCAAAATAGGTCGATCCAAGCGTCTGAAAACGGGCCTCCGCCAAAGCAGGACAATCGCAGAGAAGATGAGTAATAGTCTCTTCTTCATCCTCGTTTTGACAACTCCTACAGTAGTCGTTGAACGGGAGACCAATGCGTCTAGCATGGTTCCCAAATTTACAGTGGCCAGTGATTATCGATATCAGCCTACTTAACTGCGGTCTTTGGAGACCAAGAAGATATTTAGACCTTTGAGGATCCATTTGTGGCCACAGTGCTCTACATGTCTACATGCGAGCGATGCAGAGGCATTTTTCACTGATTTGCCTCTTAACTGCAAGTAGTGGTATACCGCAGAACTGATCAATATCCATTCTGCTAAGCATAGTGCCAGCTCTTGCCAATGTGTCAGCAATACCGTTGCCATACGAATTCCCATGTCCCTTTACCCAAATTAGGGTGATGTTCGAATGTCTCGCCATCTCATTGAGAGACGTCCGGCATTCATGGACAATTTTGGATGTGGAGAACACACCAGTTAGGGATTTAATAGCAGCTTGACTATCAGTATAAATTCTGATATCCCTATTAGATATCCGATAGTACCTTAGCCAATTTACCGCCCTCCTTATCGCCGATATTTCAGCCTGAAGGATACTACATTCATCATTAAGTCGGAAGGAGATTTTCGTTCCAAATTCCTCAATGAAAATGCCACCACCAACTCCTTTCGTCGTCTTGGATCCGTCTGTACACACTCGGAAGCAATTATTCGGCGGAAGGAGAGATTCCCCATACTCCGAAGATATATGATATTGGAACTTTCTCACTAGAGACGGTACTGGAATACAATAATCAACAATGTACTGATTTTCCGGTATAAGATCTATGATCCTAGCATGGCCTATGGAGCATTGTTTCCATTTGCCAGTTACACTCAATCTGGCCGCAGTTGACATAGCCAATTTCCTTGCAAGGAGATCGACCGAGAGCCAGTTGAGCATATTGAACAGCGCCTTCGAAGGTGTTGTTCTGAGAGCGCCTGTGATAAGAAGCGCAGTTGATCTCATTACTTTTTCCAGTTGTTGTCTGAGTGAAGCCTTTTCAAGCGCCTGCCACCATACAACAATCCCATATAGCATAATAGGTTTAATAACTGCCTCAAAGAGCCAGTGAACATTCTTTGGATTTATGCCCCAGCATGTTCCTATGGCCTTCCTACAAACACCGACTTGTTCAGTATACCAGTTCGGGGACTTCGTTAACCAGTCTGTAACTAAGTTAAAAAAATAAGCAAAGTTTATAGACTATTTATTCAATAGTATAGTCAATAGACTAGTCCCTAGCCAATAGAAAAGATAGGCAAGCCTATAAACCAGAAAATATATATAACAATCATTACTCTTTTAGATAGATAGATAGATAGATAGATAGATAGATAGATAGATAGATAGATAGATAGATATAGATAGATAGATAGATAGATAGATAGATATAGATAGATAGATAGTAGATAGATAGATAGATCGATAGATAGATAGCTAGATAGATAGATAGCTAGATATATGCTAGATATAGATAGATCGATATCGCTAGCTAGATCGCTAGATCGATCGCTAGATAGATAGATAGATAGCTCGCTCGCTCGCTCGCTCGATCGCTCTCTCGCTCGCTCGCTCGTCGCTCGCTCGCTCGCTCGCTCGCTCGCTCGCTCGCTCGCTCGCTCTCGCTCGCTGCTAGCTCTCGCTCGCTCTCTCGCTCGCTCGCTGCTCGCTCGCTGCTCGCTCGCTCGCTCGCTCGCTCGCTCGCTCGCTCTCTCGCTCGCTCGCTCGCTCGCTCGCTCCTCTCGCTCGCTCGCTCGCTCGCTCGCTCGCTTCCCCTCTTTGCTTTTCCTCTCCCGCTTCTTTCTCTGTCCTTCCTTGCTCTTCTCTTTTCTCTTTTCCGTTCCCCTGCCCTTCGCCGCCCCCGCTTCTCAACATCTCTAAAAACTCTTCTAATTTTGGCTTCGTCATTTTAAAAAACCGCCTCACCCAAGGCGGTGGTGGTTGGTTGGGCATTTTTACACAAAATTTCTTTTCAAACTTTTTTACTTCACCCACTATTTTATATTTTTAATTTTTATACATAACTTAAGTAAACTATAAATTAAGCCAAAATTGATTTTATCATGGATCATGCGGTTAAAGCTACACGTGGTCGTCCCTGGAATACACTGCGTTTTGAAAATGATGAATTAGAGTGTTTGTATCAACGTTATACGTTGAAATTGCAACGTTTCTCGGTGCTGGGTGTAGTGGCTTTGGTTGTGGTGCTATGTGGTGTTATGGCAGCTTTATCTTTAGCTTATAATAATGCTCCTACATTTCATGTAAGTATATTAATAAGAGCAAATAATTTGTGTTTGTTTTTATTTTTGTAATTGATATATTTGTTTTTTTTTGTGATTTTTTTTATCTTCCAACAGAATGTCTTCAATTCATTTGTGTGCCTGTTATTTGCCATAATTTTAATATTGTTACAATGTCGCGTGATCAAAGATCATCATTTACCCTGTCTGTGTTATGGTATTTTATTGTTTACTGCTGCCATTTGTATTGTATCGATGCCAACATTAGGTTCCGTGTTTCCGGTGGATACCAAAGAGGTAAGTTGAACTTTTTTTTTGTTTTAAATGTGAAAATTGAGGACAGTGGATTAGATAACAAGGGATTTATTATAAACAAATATATCTTACATATAACAAATTAATATAATGGGTTTAAAAAAAAAGAACTGATTATCTTTTGAGTCCAATAACAAATCATATGAATTTCGGATATCTTGTTCTGAAGTCAAGCGTATCACCGAGAGAACGAACGAGGTAACGAACAGATATTGCAACATGTTCGTTGCCAATACTCGCTTCAAACATATCAGTTGCATTCGGTACAGGTTTCCTGTTATTTGCCATATTCTGTCCAGATTTAAGCAGTTTATTGTATATACATATATGACTGCTATGGTTCCATTACCTTACTGTCTTGTACGTTTAGCTTTGGTGTCGATTTGTCTGATTGTCCGGGCTTTAAAAACTAGCTTTGGCCATTCAGATTATCGTAATGTATCCATTTTCACTGCACTGTGCGATGTAGCAGCATTTTGGGCATTTCTTTCAAAGTCTCTAACTTTAAATCGTATGGTATTAAATTTTCCAGCTTTTGGTGAATCCAGCTGCTTGAAAACGTTTTAAAATAGCTGCCCAATAATGTAATGTAATCACCAATGATTGTGCAAGCTCTTGTTGAGATTGATAATAGTCTTCATGGAGTAATGTCCTCAAAAATTTTTTGGTATTCTAACGTTTTTGGCTGGTCTGGGCGATCTGCACATTTCTCGCACATTTGAACCGATAGAGCCAGCGTCCTTTTTTTTAATAAATAAAGCAAAACTTCCCACATGTCCGTCCATCGGTCTGTCCGCTGAAAGCACGATAGGGTCTGTTATCATATGGAAATATTGGTCGTAAATTCACTAAAATATACATGTTCCTCAGTCGGTCTGTCTGTCTGTCTGTCTGTCTTCCCCCCGGGGGCATTGGTGAAATTTCCACCTTGTGTTTTTGCAATATCCTGGAGGAAGGAGGTGCTACAAATACCTTTAGTTTACCGAGACTATAAACTGGTGATAATCAAATGTATCCTCGGCCTTTCCTTGGAATGATTTGACATGGGGTCTAACCAGAGTACCGTATAATTTGGCACTACAGGTGGCCAATTGCTCGCAGGACTTGTCCTGGCTGGTCAGTTGGTTGAGGTTCATTCGGGATCCACGTAGTGGCTGTGGTTTATATCCATAGATAGAATGTTGGTTTAGGGACTGATATATCCAAATGCCATATATGTCTGTATTCTCTTTCCGGTGCTGTTGCCATCTCAACAGATGTCACTGGGTAATGTGACAGAGTAACTTATGCTAGATTCCTGATCCCGTTGAGCATCTCTTACTCTTCGCGTAGTAAGGCGCCAGTATAGGTTGGGGAATTTTTAGGTTGCCACTTGGTAGTTACCTGTCATTCCGTAGATCGTTCTTTATGGTCTAAGAATGGAACTGATGTGATTGGTGAACGATCGGGAAAGACTCCTCTGCCCGACAGGAGACTAGTACTGATTTAGTAGACCTTTTACTTCAGAGAAGTTCTCGGTGCTGTTGCCATCTCAACAGGATTCATATTGTTTCATGCAACGCGACTTATGGTTGAGGTCCACCGCTCAACTTGTCGGGGGCAATTATTTGGTTCGAATTGACTTTGGAGGGATCCTGATTTATTCGCTGGATATACCGGACTACCAAATATGTCTCTAGGTGCTGTTGCCGAATCAACAGAGCCATCTCAGTAGTGTGGTTGCGCGGGCTTTAAGAGGTTTAGGAATACAATGGAATGGGTCATTAGTTGATGGAGATTGCATTTTAAATAATGCAATCTTGCATGACATCATAAGGGTTTTATTTCAGTTGATGTTTGGGGTTTGTCGCCCCTTCTATTAACTTTAGGCCAGTGATTGCTTTTTTCTTGTCGGGGTTTGCATTGGGATTAATCCCATCCGCAACGGGGCTAATATGGCAAGAGATTAGATAGCTCGAGTTCTTCAACATGGACCGGCTGAGCCATGTACAAAAATTGTCACCTGAGTTCTTCATAGAAGGATTCAGGGGCACGTGGTAGACCGTCTCTAGTCTACCCAGTGGATGAAAAAGACCACCTTGAAATATGGCCGTCATGACAGGTGTTCACGTTAAGCATTCGACATTCGTCTGTCTGTTGAAAGTCTGGTAAGATCTGAAGGGGATCAGCTATAGTGCTGAAAATTTTCACAAATATTCCACAAAAATTAAATATAATGTCAATAGATTGTTCAACAATATTGGTCGTAGACCCACATTGTCTGTCTGTCTGTTTGCATATCTTATGAATGCTCGATGAGATCCAAACGGGAGGAGATTTAGTGCTTAAATCTTCCATAAATATTCTCATTCTCTATTGTCATGGATTGTTTGTATGAAAATGGGCAATATCGGTATACGATTTCATGAATAGTATATTTGGTCATATTTCGGTCTATTTTCCATACATGTTTACATTGAGATAACTACTTTTCTTTTAAAAAGGAAGTAAAAAGACCCCACTTTGTATTGGTGAATTTACAATCTCATGGATATACTATTGTGGGTCCAATACATTGATACTCGTCATAAATTTGGACTAAAATTATTTCATACTTCTCTTATTCCATTTTTTACAGTGTACTTCTTATAACATTAAATAAGTATTAATTATATTAATATTATTATGTTTTTTTAATTTTATTATTATTTTTTTATTTATAAAGGAAGAATCAGAGGTAATGATGATCAAAATTAAACAAATTGTTAAACATAGATGGTTTAGAGAAAACACAACATTATTTAAATGCTAAATTCTTTCATCAGCTATAAACTACTCATTTCTATAATTAATTTATGGTTTTAACAAACCAAACATTTTTTCAAACATTAATTATAATTAAGTTTTATAAAAATGAAGGTCATGCTTAAAATAGATCTACAATTTTTTTCTCACCATCAGTATTTATAAGATTGATCATATATCTCATGTCAGACAAACAACAAATGTAGTTTTAATATTTTAATATAAACTACCCTGGACACACACAACCTCAAATATACACACACTATTGTAGTTTACTATAAATCTATATTACTATGTACCTACATAATGTACTTTACATATTTTTACATTTTACTAATTTGATTTTATACCATTTGTTTTTCTCCTTTTATAAAAATTATACAGGTCATGGCCGAAGGTGTTTGGCAAATAGTATTTGTGGTCTTTTTGGCGTATGCCATGATGCCATTACAAATCTGGGAAGCTGTTTGTTTTGGCATAATCCTACCATTGGTGCATATTAGTTTAACTGTATATAAAATATTTACGGATTCATTTCGTTATTTGGAATATAATCAGGTAAATGTTATTATTATAAAAAAAAATCAATTAAACTACAATATACTTAATAAGGTTAAAAACAAAAAAACTCCATAAAACATTGATTTATGTATACATATTAGCACAGCTTTATAAAAAATCATATTTATAAACTGTAATTTAATATAACAAAAGTGTATTATTCTATTAAATTAACAACTCAGCAGAGGTTTAAAAAGTTTTCTACAAAAGGATATACAGTGTACTGTTAATTCTTTCCTTCATTTTCCGTTGTGGTTAGTTGTTTAATTTTGCTCTTTTTGTTATGCGGTTAAACTCAAAAGGTCAAATGTTTAAGTGCTAAAATATACTTTACTCTCATATGTATGGACTAATAAAAACAACCACCCCACCAACACTCATTTGTTTATTTAAACTACTTACGTATGAGCAATATTTAATTCATATGAGAAAATTAAATATTACTCATACGCATCATCTGTGTTGTGAATGTAAAGCAAAAGCAGTCAAAATTTAGTTCATACAGTTCATTCGTTTCATTTTATGTTTATTTAAAGGGTGTTTCGGGTTAATTATCATTTCAATACTATAGAGGTGGTTACTTTTTATAATTAAATGCTTTAATTTAGTTATTTGGATAACAATTGATGTTAAGTGTGTTAGATTTAATGGGGTTTTGTAGGTCATAGCAATTTTAAGTGATTTTAGTTTGCTGTTTTTCTACTTTTTTGTGCCTAAAAGCAAAAAAGCTACTATAAAAGTAGCACAAGTTGTTTTAAATGCATTATTACGTCCTTGTTTGAAAATTTTAAAACATTTTTCATTTATTTCAATAAATTGAATTTAGAATCAGTGAGGAAGAAATTTTGTAAAAAAATTGATATGAATTCTTAATGCATTTTGAAGGCAAATTTTAAAATTGAATAAAAATTTTTAAAATATAAAATAGATAGAACGGAATAATGTTACTGACTGACTGACTGATTCATCATTGCACAGCCTAAACGGTTGAAGCTAAAAATTTGGACAGAAGATTGGTCTCCCACCAAAAAGATCCACTAAGACCGGATTTTTGGAAATTTGAATGTAAAAGTTTAAAAACGGGTAATTTCGGTAACCTCATATCTCGTAAAATAGAAAAAGATAGAAAAATAGTTTAAAGCTTATTGTCGTTAATTTAAAAAATAAGCGGACAGGTGTCTGGTACATTTTTCAAATTCGGGCCCTTTAGGGAATAAACGGTTAAAAACTGTATTTTGGTACTGTTTTTGCGGACAGGTGCCTGGTACATTTTTCAAATACGGCCTCTTTAGGGAATAAACGGGTAAAAACTGTGCTTTGGTACTTTTTTTGCACACCATGCATCTTTTAAACCAATGAACATACGACAAATATGTTTGACACCTTCATCACCTAACGAAAACATAAAAATACGAATTTAGTGTTTTTTGGATATTCGGACGATAAGGGGTGAAAATTGTTCCCATTTTTGGTACTTTTTGCTTAAAACATTGATTCCTATGTATTGCTTTTTGTATTAACGTGTGAATGCTTTTTATAATAAAATGTTTATTGCATCAATAGGGAGAAAAAAGTACCAACAGGGGGAAAAACGGGAAATTTGATTTTCTACAAACTCACTGGCACAACAAAATTGAAGAAATTGATAGATTTATACCAATGGGGTTTTACTTGGAACTCCGGCACAAAGGACTATTTTTTTGTACTTTTTCGTTTTTTAACTGGTACTTTTTGTGTTTTTCATAATATGATCCTAGAAACATGATATTATGCATTTGGAGCCCGGAGTTAATGAGAATCTACAAAAAGGGGAGTTTTTGGTACTTTTTCGCCCTTCAAAAGGTAATTTTTGAATTTTATATAATATTGAACCTAGAAGAATGTAGAGCACATAGTAAATGAGAATCTATTAAATCGGACTTTTTGCTACTTTTTCGTTCTTCAAAAGGTACTTTTTGAGTTTTCTATAATATTGAACCAAGAAACATGAAACTAAGCATGTAGGTCTCGAAGTAAATGAGTACCTATAAAAGAGGACCTGTTGGTACTTTTTCGTTCTTCAAAAGGTACTTTTTGAGTTTTACATAATATTGAATCAAGAAACATGAAATTAAGCATGTAGGGCTCGAAGTAAATGGGAACCTATAAAAGAGGACCTGTTGGTACTTTTTCGTTCTTCAAAAGGTACTTTTTGAATTTTCCATAATATTGAACCTATAAACATGAAATTAAGTAAGATCGTATAAAAGGGGACTTTTTGGTACTCTTTCGTTCTTCAAAAGATACTTTTTTAATTTTCTATATTATTGATCCTAGAAACATGAAATTAAGCATGTAGAGACCGGAGTAAATGAGAACCCATAAAAAGGAACTTTTTGGTACTTTTTGAGTTTTTATAATATTGAACTTAAAAACATGAAATTAAAAGAAAGATGTCTTTTGGTAGTTTTCGTTCTTCAACTGGTGCTTATACATATAAACATAAAATGAAGCACGTAGTGTCGTGATTGAAAGTAAATTTATAAAAAGAGGCTTTCTGGTAGATTTTAGTTCTTTTAATAGTACTTTTTGAATCTAAAAACATAAAATTGACACGCAGTTTCCTGATTGTATCAGTAATCATTAATTTTATATAAAAATATTTGTTTAAATTAATCGTATACAATTCTTTGATTAAATTCTCAATCAGTAAACATTAATTCACTTTAAATATTTTCCAGCTTATTGCCAACATTGTTATGTTTATTGGTGTTAATGTGGCCGGTCTTGTGGTCAACATTATGATGGAACGTGCCCAAAGGCGGGCATTTCTAGATACACGCAATTGTATTGCCGCTCGTCTAGAGATACAGGATGAAAATGAGAAATTGGAAAGACTACTATTGTCGGTACTACCTCAGCATGTAGCAATGCAAATGAAAAATGATATACTCTCACCGGTGGCTGGACAATTTCATCGGATTTACATACAAAAGCATGAAAATGTTAGGTAAGTGGCAAAATGATTATATTAATAGCAGGAAATATATACTTCTTTCCTTTTTAAATTATTTTTGAAAAGCTTTTAATAGATCCATTATTAATAACCATTAATTGCTTTTTTCTGTTTGAAAAGAAAATTGCATAAAAAAGCCATCTGTTTTTTTAAATAGAATAATTATTTTTTATACAATTAAAATATTTTTATTTACAAATTGTACAATTTTTTTTTCTTTTGTTTTGTTTTACATTTAATCATTTTCATTGGCCTGAATTCAAGAAGTAAATATTATGTATTTTTAAGATGTAAAGTGAAAAAGGTCTTATGGGGCAAAATATTTATATAAGGAATAAGAGCATAAAAGAAAAATTTCAAAGAAAAATATGAATCTATGAAAGTATTTTTGGTACTTTTTGGTCTTCTAAATAGTACTTTTTGGTTTTTTTTTATAATATTGAACATAGGAATGTGAAACTAAACTAATAAAATGAGAATTTTTGTGAAGGTACTTTTTGGTACCTTTTCGTTCTTTAAAAAAGTACCTCTAAACGTCATAAAACAAGAATTGATAGTTCTCTAAGTGATATTAATACTACTTTTCTTGTTAGAGAGGCATTTTATGAACATTCTTTTAAAACTTTACTAAAACTAAAGTATCAAATATGTCACTTAATACCTTCTTAACTTACCCCTAATTAAATTCATTTATAATTATTTTTCTCACAGACCTTAATCTGACATATGTTTGATATATTTTTCTTTTCAATTCACAAAACATTTCTACGTACACACTCAAAACATAAATACATTTGAAATTGTGATGATTGATGAATTTGTTTGATTTAAATGAAATGTTTGTTTTAATGTCATAAATAATTCAGTTTTAATTTAAAAGTAATATTTTTTGCCAAAAAATAATAACCGAAAAAAAAACAAGAAAAAAATGTAAATTGTATATAACAAACCAGAAATGCAAAATAAATTAAATAAAAATGTTGTATATTTCATTTAATTTATATTCATTCATACCGCACCACACAATCTAGTACAACATGTAGTTGGTATGAATGTACAATAAATTCTCTCAGTACAAAAATTTGTTGCATATAAGCATCACATGCAATTTGCCCAAAAAGAAGATAAACCTTAATTTTAGTTGTTCTTTCTAACGTATTGACGTCACCGCCTGAATCAATATAGTAAATGTGTGTAAGTGTGGTTGGGCGGTTGGAATGTTTTTGTGGATTTACATTTGTTGGTCGGTTGTTGTCCTGTATATCTCTGTCTGTACTTTGAATGTGTTTGGATTTGTATAAATTTTCTTACTTTTACAAGAAGCATTTTTATTTATTTAATTTATTTTGTGCATTTAAATTTAATGTAAATTCTTTAACGTTTGTATATTTTTCATTCTTCCGCGTTAATAAAATTTGTTGGAATATTCAATTCTATTAATTAATGGTTTTTTGTTTGCGATAAAAATTTATTTGGTATTTTTATTTTAATAAACATAAACATAATTTAAAAAAAAAATGTATGAAATCACACTCTTTAAAGTCACATACAAAGTTTTTTTTACTGCATCTGAGAATTATTTGATAATTTAATCAAAAGTAAATCCATTTATGTCTAATACTCTTAGATTGAGATAATTTCTCTGTTAACATTATTTCATGTTACTCTATAGGAATGTTATTTTAAATTAAGATCTTTGTAAATATGTACTTAAAAAATTAAGTCAATAACTTTTTTTTAACTATTATAAGCAGCTTTTCTAGCACCAGATTGCGTATGATTATTATTTAATGAAGAACAAATATTGCAAAAAAATCATACGCCCTGATGACCACAGACATTGTTAAAGATTTCTTAAGAAATTTTAGAAAAATGTTTTTCTTTTATTTAAAAAATTAAAATAAATCTAGAAATCATTAAAGCCGTATAAATTAGAATTTTAAAATTAATTCAAAATATTTAAGAAATATTGTTTTTTAGATTCCAAAGAATTTTGTTAGTTGGCCAGTGGCTTCAAATTTAAACGAGTTACTTCATCGACTTCATTTGAACTAAGAGGTTATAGACTCCGACTTTTAAAAACTTGTCCAGGAACAGTTTAATTTTTCTAATTCAACCTTTTTAGTTAGTAAAGTGGTAAATATGTAATTGTATAAGCTTTTCTAGCACCACATTGCGTATGATTATTATTTAAGGTAGTACAAATATTACATAAATATCATACGCCCTGATGACCTCAGACATTGTTAAAGATTTCTTAAGAAATTTTACAAAAATGTTTTTCTTTTATTTTAAAAAATAAATAAAATCTAGAAATCATTTGTTAGTTTCATTTGAAATCATTTGTTAGTTTCGACAGATAGAACCTAACAAACAGCAGAAATAATGAATGAACATCTATAAGAGGCGGCTTTGGTACCTTTTTTTGTTCACATGGAAACATTAAACTTTCACAGTTGTCAGTGAATAAGAATCTATATGAAAAGATATCTTGGTGCCCTCCACCTTCGTGAGAAGGGTATATATAAGACTGTCATTCCGTTTGTAATTTATGTAATATAATTTTCCAGCCCTATAAAATATATATATTTTGAGTACTTATAGTACTTATAGATAACGGGGTCGATTTTGCCATGTCCGTCTGTCTGTGTGTATGTTGAAATCAGTATTCAGAAGACCCCACATATCTGCGAGATCTGAATTTTATCAGACATACGTTCGAGAAGAACGCTATTTGAAATTAACAAATTCGATCCATAAAAACAGAGAGAGCAAAAAACCGAGACAAACTCTAAAATGTTCATCAAAAATTGAGATTTATTTTGCATGCTCAGACAAAAAATAATAATAAACAACAACACACAGCATAATACGCTAAATTTTGTTCTTGTACTTGCTTGTTTATAAAAAACAAAGCAAAGCCAGAGCAACACGTTACGGATGAAGCTGCGTGTTGTTATTGGCTTGAAACATAAAATTAGTAAATTATGTAAAGCCCGAAGGAGTAAATAAAAACCTATAAAAGGGAACTTTTGGATTTTTTCTTTCTTCAAAACGTACTTTTGGAATTTTCTATAATATTCAGCCTAAAAACATAAAATTAAACATGTTTGTTCAGGTGTAAATGAGATCAAAAGATACTTTTTGAATTTTCCATAATGTCGAACATAGAAATATGAAATTAAGCATGTAGTACCGGGAGTAATTGCGAACATATAAAAAGGAAATTTTTGGTACTTTTTCGTTCCTCAAAAGCTATTTTTGGAATTTTCTATAAAATTGAACCTAGAAACTTGAAATTAAGCATATAAAACCAAGAGTAAGTGAGAACATGTATAAGGAGACTTTTTAGTACTTTTTCTTTCTTCAAAAGGCACTTTTATAATTTTCTATAAAATTGAACCTACAATCATAAAATTAAGCATGTACAGCCCGTATTAAGTGAGAACCTATAAAAGGTGACTTTTTAGTACTTTTACGTTCTTCAAAAGGTATTTTTGAATTTTTTTGAATTAGCATGTAGAGCCGAGAGTAAATGAGAATCTATAAAAGGGGACGTTTTGAGTTTTCTATAAAATTGGACATAGAAACATGAAATTGCACATGTAGGGTATGGAGTAAATAAGAATCTATAAAAGGAGATTTTTTAGTATTTTTTCATTCTTCGACTGGTACTTTTTGAATTTTTTTTCTAATATTGTACCAAGAACATGAAATTAAGCATGTACAGCCCGGATTAAGTGATAAACTATAAAAAGTGACTTTTTGTTACTTTTTCGTTTTTCAAAAAGTACTTTTTGAATTTTCTATATTAAACCTAGAAACATGAAATTAAGCATGTAGGGCCCGGAGTAAGTGAGAACATATATAAGGGGACTTTTTGGTACTTTTTCTTTCTTTAAAATGTACTTTTATAATTTTCTATAAAATTGAACCTAGAATCATGAAATTAAGCATGTAGAGCACATATTAAGTGAGAACCTATAAAAGGGGACTTTTTAGTACTTTTACTTTCTTCAAAAGTTTATTTTTAAATTTTTGTATGATATTGAACCTAGAAAGGTGAAATTAAGCATATAGAGCCCGGATTTAGGGAGAACCTATAAATGGGAACTTTTTGGCACTTTTTCGTTCTTCAAAAACTACTTTTTGAATTTTCTATAATATTAAACCTAGAAACTTGAAATTAAGCATATAGAGCCCGGAGTAAGTGAGAATATATATGAGGGGACTTTTTGGTACTTTTTCTTTCTTCTAAAGGTACTTTTATAATTTTCTATAAAATTTAACCTAGAATCATGAAATTAAGCATGTAGAGCCCATATTAAGTGAGAACCTATAAAAGGGGACATTTTTGGTACGTTTACGTTCTTCAAAAGGTACTTTTTAATTTTTTGTATAATATTGAACCTAGAAGCATGAAATTTAGCATGTAGGGCCCGAAGTAAGTGAGTACATGTAAATGAGGACATTCTGGTACTTTTTCGTTCTTCAAAAGGTACTTTTTGTGTTTTTTTTTTAATATTGATCCTAGAAGCATGAAATTAAGCAAGAGAACCAACCCTTTGGTAATTTTTGTTCTTCAACTGGTACTTTTTGAGTTTTCTATTATAACATAAAACTAAGCAATCAGAGACTTGAATGAATGAAAATTTAATCTAGAGTATTTTCTGACACTTTTTCGTTCTTTAACTGGTACTTTTTGAATTTTCTATAATATTGAACTTAGGAACATGAAATTAAATAATAGAGGTCTTTTGGTACTTTTTCGTACTTCAACTGATACTTTTTGAGTTTTCTAAATGATGAATATATAAACATAAAATTAAACACAATTTTCTATAATATTGAGCTAAAAGCATAAAATTGGTCACGCAGCTTCCTGGTTGTATAAAAATCTGTATGCCAGGAATTTCTGGTTGAAAATGAAACAAGCATTATCCTGATTTTTTCCATAAAAAAATTTTTAATTGTGTGTAATATTGAGACTAAAATCATAAAATCAAATTTATAGAGTTCCCTAATAATGATAGACAAAGTGACCAATCGAATGTAACAATCCAACTTGTTATAAATAAAACCTGCAAATTTGTCGGGTTATGTATATTTAAATTTTATATAATTTTTAAATTTTGTATTTTTTAATCATGTCTAACAAAATTTAACATTTTTCAATTACAGCATTTTATTTGCGGATATTGTTGGCTTTACTGTATTGTCCTCACAGTGTAGTGCACAGGAATTAGTAAGACTGTTGAATGAACTTTTTGGTAGATTTGATCAATTGGCTCATGTAAGTGTTATTTTAACTAACTTTGATCATGTGAATTAAAAAGAAAATATATAAACAACTCTTTATTAACAAATCTTTAGGACAACCATTGTTTACGTATTAAAATCTTAGGAGATTGTTATTATTGTGTATCGGGTCTACCCGAACCACGTAAAGATCATGCCAAATGTACAGTTGAAATGGGTCTCGATATGATTGATGCTATAGCGTAAGTCAAGAAAATCTTTAGAATGATATAATTTTTTAATTTTAATATAATTGTTTGTATTTTTCTACAGTTCGGTTGTCGAGGCTACCGATGTCATGTTAAACATGCGTGTCGGCATTCATACGGGTCGTGTTTTATGTGGAGTTTTAGGTTTACGTAAATGGCAATTTGATGTCTGGTCCAATGATGTAACATTGGCCAATCACATGGAATCGGGTGGTGAACCGGGTAGAGTGCATGTAACACGTTCCACTTTAGATGCTTTATCCGGTGAATATGAGGTAGAGGCGGGACATGGTGATCAAAGATCATCATATTTAAGAGATCATGGTGTTGATACTTATTTTATAGTACCACCACCCCACAGGCGTAAGGTGGGTTTATTAATACAAATAAGAGTTTTATTGAAATAATAATGATTTATTTTATTTGTGTTTTTTAGCCTTTAATGTTAAATACTTTAGGTGTCCGTTCAGCTATTGGTTCTCGTCGTAAATTATCATTCCGTAATGTTTCGAATGTGGTCATGCAATTGTTGCATACCATTAAATTTTCCGAACCAGTGCCTTTCTCAAATATAGCCACTGGTTCTTTTCCCTCCTCGGCTGGCAGTGGCGGTGGTAGGGGCAGTACAGCAGGCGGTGAAAATCAATTGGAAAAAAGCACTAGAAAGGTAAGTTTGTTTCCACATAAATTTTATTACTAGTTTGGCAATATTTTGTTAGTAGTTTAGTAGTAAATTTTATTTGCTTTAAATGAAAATATTTGCCTAAAAAAAGTAGTTTTGCTTAAAAAGAGAAAAAAAAAAACATATAATTTGCATGTTATTTTTAATAAAAAAGTTATTACAAAAAAAAATATATAAAAAAGAAATTACTAACCTTTTAAAGAGTTATTTAATAAATTGAAAATATAATGAAGATTTTTTAAAAAAAGCTTTTAAATTAATTTTTTTTATTTTTTGTTTTTATCTTTTCTTTTTATTCTTAAACACCTTATTGGCTGGGCTCTTTATTTAATATTATTTTTTTTTTAAATTCTTCTACCAAATTTCACGCTTTGCTTTAAACACTTTTAAACTTTCCTTTTATAAAAATTCTAATTAAATTTATTTATTTCCTTTTATTTTTTACCCAAAACCTCTTCTTTAATAATTTATTTAATTTTCTTTTTTTAATCTTAATTTTATTTTCTTTCATTTTTATTCCAGGATGCGGTAAGTTTAATTTTTATTTTAATTATTGTTTTCTATCTAAACAATTTTAAGTTTTTTCAACTCTTCGTTATGGTTTTTATATGAGAATATCAAAAGTGAGAAATATTTTTGTATAAAACATTTTTGAAAAAAAAAAAAACATATTTTTACAACATGTCTAAATGAACACGTTTGTGTATTTGTAAAACGTAACTAACAATTTCCGGTGTAAAATTTGTAGTGTTGTTTGTTAAATAAAATTTATAAATATTAAATATTATATAAATATTTAAAACAATTTTTTAAACTTAAAACTAGATTTTTATTTATCTAGTCAATTTTGTGTTTAACTTTTGTAAATGTCGGAAATTTGTTTATAATTTGTTGTGTGTAAATAAAAAAAAATATTATTATAATAAAATTAGTTAAAAAAATACTTATATAAATATTTATGTAAATTAAAAGTAGTATTTAATTATTACAAATAGTTGAAATTATCTTTCTTAAAAAAAAAAAACGAAATTCTAAATTGTTCACATCAAGATGATTTGCTTAAAAGTTCGCCTCGAATGATAGGATTTAAGACCCCAACGAATGGAATGATAAAATTTAAGACCTCAACGAATGATTCGATTTTAATAAAATTTCATAGGTTTACCCATAGTAGACTACCATAGATATGTAAAAATTTGTAAAGGATTGAAATTCTTAGTTTGTAACCTGATTTTCAATTTCGATTTTATAAACTTTTTTTCGGTCCACAAGTCTAGAAAAATTGGTCGAAGACCAACAAAAGTTTATATATTCTGGGTCCTTATCTAAGACAACTTTGATATATCCGTCCGTCTGTCTGTTGTAAACACGTTAGTGCTTAAACGAGAGAAGCTAGAGGGTTGAAATTTTACCCATATTCTCCATTTAAAATGGGCCATATTGGTCTACGTGTTCGTACAGTCCCATATAACTGACTGCCGGAATACAGATCAGGCACTTTTTCGAAATTAGTACAAACTGTTGATAAATAGTCCACATAATAGTCAATAGACCATTAGTCCATAGTCTAGTCTATAGTATAGTCTATAGTCTAGACTGTGGTTTAGTATGTAGTATAGTCTGTGGTCTAGTATGTAGTATAGACTGTGGTCTAGTCTATAGTCTAGTCTAGTCTAGTCTATAGTCTAGTCTATAGTCTAGTCTATAGTCTAGTCTATAGTCTAGTCTATAGTCTAGTCTATAGTCTAGTCTATAGTCTAGTCTAGTCTAGTCTATAGTCTAGTCTATAGTCTAGTCTATAGTCTAGTCTAGTCTAGTCTATAGTCTAGTCTATAGTCTAGTCTATAGTCTAGTCTATAGTCTAGTCTATAGTCTAGTCTATAGTCTAGTCTATAGTCTAGTCTATAGTCTAGTCTATAGTCTAGTCTATAGTCTAGTCTATAGTCTAGTCTATAGTCTAGACTGTGGTTTAGTATGTAGTATAGTCTGTGGTCTAGTATGTAGTATAGTCTGTGGTCTAGTCTATAGTCTAGTCTATAGTCTAGTCTATAGTCTAGTCTATAGTCTAGTCTATAGTCTAGTCTATAGTCTAGTCTATAGTCTAGTCTATAGTCTAGTCTATAGTCTAGTCTATAGTCTAGTCTATAGTCTAGTCTATAGTCTAGTCTATAGTCTAGTCTATAGTCTAGTCTATAGTCTAGTCTATAGTCTAGTCTATAGTCTAGTCTATAGTCTAGTCTATAGTCTAGTCTATAGTCTAGTCTATAGTCTAGTCTATAGTCTAGTCTATAGTCTAGTCTATAGTCTAGTCTATAGTCTAGTCTATAGTCTAGTCTATAGTCTATAGTTTAGTCTCTATAGTTTAGTCTATAGTCTAGTCTATAGTCTAGTCTATAGTCTAGTCTATAGTCTAGTCTATAGTCTAGTCTATAGTCTAGTCTATAGTCTAGTCTATAGTCTAGTCTATAGTCTAGTCTATAGTCTAGTCTATAGTCTAGTCTATAGTCTAGTCTATAGTAGTCTAGTAGTCTAGTCTATAGTCTAGTCTATAGTCTAGTCTATAGTCTAGTCTATAGTCTAGTCTATAGTCTAGTCTATAGTCTAGTCTATAGTCCAGTCTATAGTCTAGTCTATAGTCTAGTCTATAGTCTAGTCTATAGTCTAGTCTATAGTCTGTCTATAGTCTAGTCTATAGTCTAGTCTATAGTCTAGTCTATAGTCTAGTCTATAGTCTAGTCTATAGTCTAGTCTATAGTCTAGTCTATAGTCTAGTCTATAGTCTAGTCTATAGTCTAGTCTATAGTCTAGTCTATAGTCTAGTCTATAGTCTAGTCTATAGTCTAGTCTATAGTCTAGTCTATAGTCTAGTCTATAGTCTAGTCTATAGTCTAGTCTTAGTCTAGTCTATAGTCTAGTCTATAGTCTAGTCTATAGTCTAGTCTATAGTCTAGTCTATAGTCTAGTCTATAGTCTAGTCTATAGTCTAGTCTATAGTCTAGTCTATAGTCTAGTCTATAGTCTAGTCTATAGCTAGTCTATGTCTAGTCTATAGTCTAGTCTATAGTCTAGTCTATAGTCTAGTCTATAGTCTAGTCTATAGTCTAGTCTATAGTCTAGTCTATAGTCTAGTCTATAGTCTAGTCTATAGTCTAGTCTATAGTCTAGTCTATAGTCTAGTCTATAGTCTAGTCTATAGTCTAGTTCATCGTCTAGTTCTATAGTCTAGTCTATAGTCTAGTCTATCTAGTCTAGTCTATAGTCTAGTCTATAGTCTAGTCAATAGTCTAGTCTATAGTCTAGTCTATAGTCTAGTCTATAGTTCTAGTCTATAGTCTAGTCTAGTCTAGTCTATAGTCTAGTCTATAGTCTAGTCTATAGTCTAGTCCATAGAATAGTCTATATATAGTCAAGTCTATACTGTATAGTCCAGTGTATAGTATAGACTTCAGTCCAATCTATGGTCTAGTATTTACGTAATATAGGCTAATCTTGTCTGCAATATAGTCCATAGTCCAATCCAGAGTATAGTCTATATTATAGTTTATAGAATAGTTTAGTACTTTAAAACCTATAAAAGTACTCTTTTTGTTATAAATTTAAAATTTTTATTTTCCAATCAATTCCTATAAATTAAAAACGAACGGAAAGCAAATCATCTTATCAACAAAATTAAAAAATCTAACATAATCTTCATTGGAACTAATTTTTGGTTAAAACAACATTTCTTAGAAATTTCCATAATTAAATACTTGCATTTTCAATACGAAAAATTTAAAAAACCTTTTTTAGTTTTCTGTTAAATAAATAAACTTTCTCTACTACTTCTATAAAGTCTAAACTCTTCTATTTTCTTTTCTATTATATTTTCTTTCTCTATTTCTATAAAACATTTATTTTCTTCTTTTATCTTTGTTTTAAATCATAAATTTTTCATTTTCTTTTGTTAACTCTATTAAAATTTCTATCTCTCTATCTCTTCATCTGAACCAATATCTTTTATTAAATTTTTGTTTTATTATTATAAATATCTTTATGTTTTTTGTGTTTAATTATTGTTAATTTAATTTATTTCTGTTTTATTATTATTATTCTACATTTGTTTTTGTGTTTCATTTGTGTTTTTTTCTCTAGGTAATACGTCTACAAAAAATCTTACATGCTCCAACACCACCAGGTGGCGGTGTTACCATTCAAGTAGGAACAACTTCTAATTCAACTTCGAATACGATTAGTCGCATTCATAGACATAATAATCACAAAAATAAAGTGAGATTTGTTGTTTGCAAGAAAAAAACAAAATCGACAAAAAACTAAACAAAACATATAAATCCATTATTTTTGAATCAAAAAAATATTTTTTTTGAAAAAAATTTACCAATTGTTATTTGTTTTTGTTTTTACCACCCCTCCATTCATTTGCTGGTTTTGAGAAAACAAATTATTGTTCTTTTTTGAGTTAAAGTTTTTATTCCAAATTTCACTTTGATTTCGGTTGCAGTTTTTTTCTTGATTCATGAAGTTTTCATTTTTTTAACTATTAATATTTACTGTCGAGTTTTTGTGAATCGAATTAATGTCTTTTTTGAATATTTGTAAAAAAAAATATTTTGTACAAATTTTTAATTAAGATGTTATAAATTCGATTATTTACGAAAATGGTCAGTTAATTATTTTAATACTTTAGTTGCGTTTTTATGATGTTGATTCCTTAATAAGATTTTTTCCAATTATATGTTTTTTAAAGAAATGTTTGGATTATTTTAACATCAAATTTGTAATTTTTTTTTAAAAAAGAAAACATAATTTCAAAAAATTTAGTTTAAAAAAGCTTTGCTTATATTATTTTAACGGAAATAACCTTTGTCAATGAATTTTTTTGGTAATAAAGCTTTTCTGAAAGGAGTAAAACAATTTTTTTTCCCGAAAAATTATTTTTTGTGAAATAAGCATTCAGCAGTCAAAACCATGTTTTTAAAAGATTTTTTTATAACTTTTTGATGATAAAGCTTTTCGAAAAAAATATAATTTTTTTGTTTTAATAAAAAAAAGCTTTTTTGGAAAAAATTTTTAAAAACATTCAATAAAAAGCTTTGAAAAAACTGATCTTTTAGAAAAGTTCTTAGTTGTAAAAGCTTTTTTCACTATTTTTTGTGAGACAACAACTTTTTTTAGTGAAAAAGTTAAAAGTATTTAGTTTTTGAAAGTTTATTTTTTTGTTAAAAAAAGCTTTTTATGTTTATGTTGACGAAAAAGCTTTTTTATGAAAAATCTGGAAAATGTGGAATTTGGAAAAGCTTGTTTTGTTAAACTTTTTTCATGAAAAAGTTTAAAAACGATATGTATTTTCATTAGAAAAAGTTTAAATTTTTTAACATTTTACATACTTTTATGTTGCCAAAAAAAGCTTTTTTAAGAAAAATATTTTTCTTTTTTTTTGGAAATTTTTTGCGTTAAAAAAAGCTTTTTTATATTCTTTTTGTCTAAAGCTTTTTTCATTAGAAAAAGCTTTTTAGTAAAAAAGTTAAAATTTTTATAACATTTTACATAATATGCTTTTATGTTGACTAAGAAGCTTTTTAATGAAAAATCTTTTTTTTTTTTTGGAAAAGCTTGTTTTGTTAAAGGTTTTTTCATGAAAAAGTTTTAATTTTTTAACATTTTTATGTTGCCGAAAAAGCTTTTTTAAGAAAAATATTTTTTTTTTTGGAAAAAAATTGTTTTTGTTTAAGTTTTTTCACTTTTGAAAAGAATTTCTATCGAAAAAGCTTTTAAAAATCTTTTTAAAAACAGATTTTTGAGGTTATTATTGGAAAAGTGTTATTTATTTATATATTTATCTTATATGGAAAAAGTCCTTTTTTGAAAGAAAACTTTTTCCTGAGAAAGCTTTTTTAGTAATTTTTTCCGAAATAAAAGCTTTGTAAAAAAAACTTTATTCAGTGAAAGAAATATGAAAAAATTGTTTTTAATAAATTTATAAATAAAATTCTCCTTTTTAATATTTTTCATAAATTTTTAATTGAAAAAGCTTTTTCCAAAAAATTACATGTTGCTAAAGAATTTCCTAAAGATCTACTACTCTTTTCCAAAAAAAAAAATCCAAACATTTCAATAAATGATAAATTCGATCTAAAAAAAACATTTGAAATTTATTCATCCCAGAAGTTGTTTTCGAGTTCAAAAGTTTTGTCTTGATTAATTTGCAATTTGCATGTATCTGAGTTCTATGAAAACCATTAAACAACATTTTCTTTTTGACAACAAAATCTTAAACATTTTATTATTTTTCCATTGTATGATTTTTTGTAAATTTTGTAAAATACAAACAGAAGTTAAAAAAAATTATATTCATTCTAAAAAAAAAGCATGAATTAGCTTTTGACCATATATGAAACAACCAACTTATCAGTACCATTATTGCATGTAGAAGTTTTATATACTAACATTTTATCTTTGGGTGTAAGATTTATTTGCAAAAACCATAAATATTTTGTTTATTATTATTACTATATAACATTTAAATTTTAACATGATTTTCTTAATAATTAAAACTAATTTGTTTCTTTTCTTTACAAAATTTTTTCAAATTTCATTTTAACCCTCCCCCCCCAAAAAAAAAAAAAAAAACAATACACATTCAAAAAATAGTCCAAAGTAACCGATAAATTTAAGAGACCCTTTCGCAAGCGTCACTCTTCGGTTCATCATCAGCCGACGAATCGTGTAAATCGTTTTCTTTCGCAAGCTATAAATGCCCGTTCGGTGGATTGTGATAAATCTGAACATGTGGATCGTATAACATTAAAATTTCGTGAGAGTGATAAGGAACGGGAGTATCGTAAAGATTTCGATTTAGGTTTTACAACAGCTATGGGCTGTTCTCTTTTACTGTTGATATTGGGAGCAGCTTTACAAGTTACCGCTTTGCCCAGGACATTGATTTTATTGTTATTATTTTTAACGGCATTTGTATGGGTTAGTGCTGTATTAATGCTTTTGCTGGCGGTACGTTTGAAATGGATCAATTGGGATTTATCACAAAGTTTTACTTTGCGTATGGCCATAACAATATTTACAGTGATTTTGATTTACTCAGTGGGTCAAGTGAATGTGGTAAGTTTTTAATAACTAAAACTTTTATTTAAAGTTGTCAGTAATTATTATGTTTTCAGTTTACCTGTGTTTCGGATCATCCCTGCTCGAGTAATATTACTACAGCGGCTCCTACTTTGGAGGAAGATTTGCTAATGATGGCCCATCAAAGTGAGGCTCATCGTAAATGTTCTCTACCCCAATATGTTTCACTATCAGCCACATTTGCTTTACTATCGGTTTCGGTATTCTTAAGGTAATTTATCTTATAATCAAATAACCTTTTTAGTAAAATTTATTAATCAATAATATATTTTTAATTTCTAGGTTACCCATTATATTTAAATCTTTGCTGGTCATAATGATGGGTGTCATTTATAGTTTATTTATTGAACTATCTCACACAAATATTTTTGATTGTTATGACAGTCGTGTCAAGTAAGTGTTTAAATCTCTTAATATTTATACACAAAAATAAATGTTAAACTAATGTATTGTCTTTTTTTCCTCATTCCCTCTTTCACTGCCCCCCCATTCTCTATTTTTAAATATATTTCACACAATTCTGTAGCGCCTCGATTCCACTTCATTTAATCTCATTGGCTCGTATTTTAATTTTTATGATTGCCATCCTTGTACATGGTCGTTTAGTTGAGTGGACAGCAAGGTTAGATTTTCTGTGGCAATTGCAGGCATCTCAAGAGAAAAAGGAAATGGATGTTTTGCAGGAGTCGAATAAAAGAATATTGCACAATTTGCTGCCAGCCCATGTGGCTGCACATTTTCTTGATAATCAATTTCGCAGTAATATGGTGAGTATACAAAGAGTGCTTACTCTGGTTCTTTATTATTTTGTATTTTATTTTATGTGATTACTGCTGCTGCTTTATATCTTTGAATTTCGTTTGAAGGTCAAGTTTATTGCCATATAAAGTTGTATATATTTTCTTTCAATTAACAGATAAAATGTATTAAAGAATTTAATTATTTGTTTGATGTGCTTAATGGATACTTTGTGAAAGAAGTTATTGATGGTTTTAAGTAAATTGAAAATTTACTTTAAGAGAGAAAAGTTCATGCGAAAGATTTGGGGGTCACAAGCCACACTTTCTTTTCAATCTCTCTCTCTCTCTCTCTCTGATGAAAACTACCTATTATATTCTTAAAGATTTTCTTATTGTAAATAGTTAGATATTAAATTTATTACTTTATTTTAACATTTAATTGATTTTGGCAAGTATGCCCCTATGGCGTAAAGTCCCCCTTATATCTTACTCAGTGTTTTAAATCTTTTTGAGTGATTTTCATTAAACTTTGTAACGAAGAAGTTGTTTTACACAACATATGTACATATTTTATAAATGTCACATGCCATTAACCAGATAACACCGTTGCACAGTGGGACAGAAGTTGTTGGAAATAAATCTGAAATTCTAAAAGCCCAATCCGATATCTGAATTAATAGTTTGGTTTTAATAATATTTCATGTGACTAAAAATGAAGTTTTGTCAAGTTTAATATTTTATTTTGAATCTAATGACGAAATCCGGGGAATATACGTAAGTCCCCAATGTCCCCAATTTTGTCATTCTGTTTGTAACACATCGAAATATTGCTCAAAGACCCACAAAAATATATTCTTGGGTCCTTATTAAATTCTAAGACGATCTAGCCATGTCTGTCCGGAATGAGCTAGATGATTCGCAAATAGTCTCTATAGGTAAGGTTTGTTTCGTATTGAAAATGGGCAATATTGCTCAAAGACCCACAAAAATATATTCTTGGGTCCTTATTAAATTCTAAGACGATCTAGCCATGTCTGTCCGGAATGAGCTAGATGATTCGCAAATAGTCTCTATAGGTAAGGTTTGTTTCGTATTGAAAATGGGCAATATCAGTCCATATTTTCGGATAGCCCCCATACAAGTGGACCCCCGAAAAACAGCTTTAACGGGCATATCTGTTTTAAAAGTACAGCCATAAAATTCGACATAAATAAGTTTCATATGATCCGAAATCTCCCTACCAATCTTTATGAGGATCGGTTCATAATTGACCCCACCCCCATATAAGGTCCCCATCATAAAGTGACTATAACGCTTATTACTCGCTTAAAAATACGAATATAGCGATGAAATTCGACACACATAAGTATCATGCAAGCCAAAATGTCACTACAAAAAAATTTTATATGGATCGGTATATAGTTAACCCTAGTCCCCATATATGGTCTCCTTAAAAAAATGACTTTAACTCTAATTACTGGCTTAAAAATACAAGTGTAGCAATGAAATTTGGCATAAGTAAGTCTCTTATGAACAAAAAACCTCCCTACCAAATTTTATGTGGATCGGTGCATAATTGACTCTAGCCCCCATATAAGGTCCCCTTCAGAAAATGACTTTAACGCTCATTATTGGCTTAAAAATACGAGAAAAGTGGTGAAATTCGACACACATATGTTTTATACCAAATTTATTAAGGATCGATCTATAAGAAAATTACTTTTACGATCATTCAAAGCAAATCTTCCTACCGAATTTCATGTGGAAAGTGATATTCGATGTAAAGATTTATATGAACCAAAATCGGTCTAAAAAATTTATGAAAATGTTTATGAAAAACGGTTAATAATTAACCCTATCTCTCATATAAGGTCCTATTCAGTTAATTTGATGAGTAATATTACCCTGATGTTTATAGAGAGGCATTTCTTTTACGGCATATGGTTTGATGGTGGGTATATGAGATTCGGCACAGCCGAATTTAACATTCTCACTTGCTTTAAAATCTACTTGACAAGAACATTTTTATTTTATCTTCTTATAATTAGGGAATCTATATACATATATAAAAATGAATGTGTGTTTATTTGTGGGTTTGTTTGTTTGAAGCCTATAGACGGCTAAAAGGCTGGACCGATTTTCTTGAAATTTTAACCGTATCTTCCTGTATATCTGGAAGGAACTATAGGCTACTTTTTATTTTAAAATTTCAAGTAGGCGAGTTGCCACGCCTACTTATTTAATAGCTATTAAAAATCATATATCTTGGAAACTGGTACAATTAGAGTTCTCAAAGTTTGCACGGACAACTTTGACATCCATAATAATGTTTTTTGACAAAATGGGCGGAATGACTATAGTGGGCGTGGCACCTTCCATATTAAGAAAATATTAAATCAGTATATCTCGGAAAATGTAACAGTTAGAGCCCTCAAATTTGGTCGGAGCCACATAAGTCTCAATGTGATTAGTTAGCATAAAAAGTGGGCGGACTAGCAGCAGGGGCGTGGCACCTCCTTAATTAAATACACAAATTCGTTTATCTTGGAAACTATTAGAGTTAAAAGCTTCAAATTTTGCACGTAGAACTTTAGCATCCATGTAAATATTTTGGGTAATAAATTGGCGGACTACCAATGGGCGGAGCGGCACCTCCCATATGAATTAAATACAACAAAATATTTTATCTAAGAAACTAATAGAACTAAATTCCTAAAATTTTGCAAAAAGGACTTTCACATTCATCTGAACATTTTGGGGGAAAAAAGCAGACTTTCATCAGGGGGTGGCTTGGAACCCCCATATGAATTATATAGAAAAATTTGTATATCTGAGAAGCTAGAATCTTCAAATTTTACATGAAGAACTTTGACATTCATGTGAATATTTAGAGAAAAATTGGCGGACTTTCAATGGGGGTTGGCCCCTCCCATATGAATTAAATTCGGAAAAATTGGCGAACTTGCAATAATTTGTGTGGCATCTCCCATGTGTAAGTGGGTTTTTTTGCTTTTAGGGTAGCAAAGCACACTGGGTATAGCTAGTAGTTTAATAATATTTGAAAAAAATAATTTTTTTCATAATGTTTTTAAATTTTCAATTCAAGTTTTAATTTTATAATTATTTATTCCCCCAATTTAGGAACTTTATCATCAAAGTTACGCCAAGGTGGGTGTAATATTTGCCAGTGTGCCAAATTTTCATGAATTTTATACGGAAATGGATGGTTCCGATCAGGGTCTAGAATGTTTACGTCTGCTTAATGAAATTATAGCAGATTTTGATGAGGTAAGTTGAATAAGTTTCGTATAAATTGTTATAAATGTAAAATTTCTAAAATTTTGTTTCATTTTTAAAACCAGTTACTAAAAGAAGAACGTTTTCATGGTATTGATAAAATCAAAACTGTGGGTAGTACTTATATGGCTGTTGTAGGTTTAATACCAGGTATTGTATAGAACAAATTTTGAATCGAATAATTTTTAATTAAAATAAATCCTTTTACAGAATACAAAATCAATCCGGTGGATCAAAATTCGGTAAGACGTCATATGACCGCTTTGGTGGAATATGTCAAGGCTATGCGCATGTCTTTGCAGGAAATAAATAGTCATTCCTATAATAATTTTATGTTAAGAGTTGGTAAGTATTTTTTGAACACCTTCTTAATACAAAAAACTATATCTTTATTATAATTTCTTTAAAGGCATTAATATTGGGCCTGTGGTGGCTGGCGTCATAGGAGCCCGTAAGCCTCAGTACGATATTTGGGGCAATACAGTTAATGTGGCCAGTCGTATGGACTCGACTGGCATACCCGGTTATACACAAGTTACCCAAGAAGTCGTAGACAGTCTGCAGGGCTCACATTTTGAGTTTAAGTAAGTTTTAATTTTGGAATGAAATATTCTCTTAGATGAATGTTAAAAATTTTCTCTCTCCCACAGATGTCGCGGCACTATTAAGGTTAAAGGTAAAGGTGATATGATCACCTATTTCCTTAATGACAACTCCAGCAGTGGCCTCAATGGTGAAGTACGTAATGCCATGATTGGTAATCGGCCATCCTTTGGTCAGCTGCCACAAACCCAACTGGCCAGCCAATTACAAACTACCGAGTATTATCAGAAGCAGTCACAATATCAAGACAACAACTATCATGTTAATATGAATTCCGAAACTTATAATGTTAAAAAAGATTTCGGTTTCAATAATATGGAACATGAGGGTAATAATGTCTTGATTAAGGCCAACTCTATGAATGAAGAACAACAGTTATTGCTGCAACATATGCAGCCACAACATCATCAACATCACTTGCAGCAGCAGCAACAGCAAAGAATGAATAGTAAACTGCAGAAGCAACCGTTTCTTGCCAATGGTGGATTGCCGAATATACATGAGAATGGTCATAATGGTGAACATAATGGTAATGAGCATAATGGTTTCACTAATGGTTACAACAATTATCCAGGTGGAGGCGGAGGAGGCGGTGGCAATGGTTTCTCACAGCAACAACAACAGCAGCAGCAGCAGCAACCGACAGCTGCTCAGCATCAGCGTCAACATTCTTCTAGTTCTATGAGCAGTATGGGTTTAAATCCTAATTCCATAACACAACAACAGCAACAACAACCTTTACCTCAACCACCTTTACCACTACCACCACCTCCTCTAACATCATCTACATCAGCAATGTCCAATGTACCACCCGCCCTACAACAACATCATCAACTCCAAAATCAACAACCAGCATCATCCCTGACATCATCATCGGTAATGTTCCGTGAACAATTTAATATTATTGAAAATCCTAGCAATAGTCGTTATAATATTCTTAATAATTATAATAATCCTCCTACTCCTCTTTCACAACATTTAATGCATCATCACCAACAACAACACAATCAACTACAACAACAATTACATCAAAATAAACAAATTCAACACGATCAATTGCAATTACAACAACAGCAACAACTACAAATGCATGATCCTTACGCTCCGCTGGAAAATTTCAATAATTTGTTATATGGTGCCGCTAACGGTGGTAATGGTAAACGTGAACAAATGCATGCATCCTCCATCCATACAACAACTACAACAAATCTAACTACTACTTGTACTACTACACCAACTTCTACTACTTCTACTACTACTGCATTAAATAATTATCATCATTATTTGTATCAGCATCATCCGGCAATGCAACAGCATCATCATAATCTTAATAATCATCTATCACATCTTAATAATTATCATCATCAACAACAACACCAACAACATAATAATAAAAACTATCAGCAACAACCGACACAACAGCAAACATCATCGTTGTCCTCTTCGCCCATTTTGACTCACAACAATTCGAATAATCATTTCAACAATTATCACAATTGTCGCGAAAGTGAACCGTTGTTGCTTGCCACACAAGTGGCCAAGGTGAGTTACATAGACGATGATAGTAGTTGTGATGATAATGATAATGAAGAAGATGCATTTTTGGGTGGTAACGAAGAATACCTCTTATGATCACTTCACATCACAAGTAGTTGAATGTAATCATAGTAGTTTTTCTCTCACACTCTCTTTCTCTCTTGAATGCACAATTTCGATTTCAAATTAGTAGCAGTAGTTTTACAAATTGTGCAAATTTTTATATAAAAACATTTTGTTTATATTGGTGTTGGTTTCCTTATTGTGGGTGGTAGCAAAAGAGAAACAAAATCTGTAGAAAATTACCCGTAGTTTACCTGTTTTTGTATATATAATGTTATTTTATTTTTTATACATATTTTTGTATAAATATTTAACATTTTCTGTTCTTCCACCAACTTCCAGAACTACGGTCTAAAATCTAAACTAAAATGGAGTTAAGATCTTTAATGTTAACATCTTCAACTTTATCTAACATTGTGATAAGTTGTATTGCTATTTCAAATATAAATTAGCTGTCAAGAGATCGTGAGTTCTATATAATTATTGAAAAATTTTATAAAAAAATTTTTAAATTCAAAATTATCATTCATTTTCATATTTTCCATTCGATATACATACTTTCTTCTGATCCCAACCTGTAATGATTTCTTTCTTTGTATTAGCTGTATTTTCTTCATTAGGCATAATGTTTGGTTTTAAAACTAATTCTTAATGTTTCTCAAATCTAAACAGAAGTTCAGAGTCTGCTTTCGTATTCTATTTGAAGATTATTTGAAAACATTTTTAGAAAATAATGAATGATTATTCTTATTTTTATACCCACCATCAAAAAAGATGGGGGGTATATTGATTTTGTCATTCCGTTTGTAACACATCGAAATATTGGTCATAGACCCACAAAAGTATATATATTCTGGGTCCTCATTAAATTCTAAGACGATCTAGCCATGTCTGTCCGTCTGTCCGTCCGTCCGTCTGTCTGTCTGTTGAAAGCACGATAGAGTCCGAATGGAAAGAGCTAGAGGGTTGAAATTTCACATAAATATTTCTTATAGGTAAGGTTTGTTTGGTATTGAAAATGGGCAATATCGGTCCACGTTTTCGGATAGCCCCCATACAAGTGGCCCCTCGAAAAGCAGCTGTAACAGCCATAACTTGTTTAAAAATACGAATATAGCGATGAAATTCGACATAAGTAAGTTTTTTATGATCCAAAATCACTATGCAAAATTTTATGAGGATCGGTCCATAATTGACCCTACCCCCCATATAAGATCCCCTTCAGAAAATGACTTTAACGCTCATTACTGGCTTAAAAATACTAGTATATAGATGAAATTCGACATAAGTAAGTTTCATACGAGTCAAAATCTATCTAAAAAGTTTTATGAGGATCGGTCCATGATTGACCCTACCCCCCATATAAGGTCCCCTTCAGAAAACGACTGCAACGCTCATTAATGGTTTAAAAATACGAGTGTAGCGATGAAATTAGACACAAATAAATTTAATACTAACCAAATTCTGTCTACCAAATTTTATGAGGATCGACCCATAATTGACCCTACCCCCTACATAAGGTCCCCTTCAGAAAATTACTTTAACGCTTATAACTGGCTTAAATATACGAGTATATAGATGAAATTCGACATAAACGTGGTTTGATGGTGGGTATATAAGATTCGGCATAGCCGAATATAACACTCTTACTTGTTATTGTACATTTTGTTAAAATACATTTGAGAAAGAGAAAGTGGGGAATATTTTCAATTAAAAAATCTTCTTAAGAACGCTAATCGTAAAAAAATTTTTACTAAAAAAGTCATCGCACTAAAATTTTTCCAAGGAATACAAATTGTTGCAAAAGTTTCTTTTAAAAATTTGTTCTGTCGAAAGCTTTCTAAAGAACTCCATTCGATCGAAAAGTTTTCTAATGAAATTTTATTGATCGAAAATTTTCCTAGAAATAATCTATTTGATAGAAAAGTTTTTTAATGAAATCTATTCGATCGAGAAGTTTTCTTAAGAAATCTGTTTGATCGAAAAGTATTCTAAAGAAATCTATTCTAAAAAACATTTATTTATAAATCTATTCTATCGAAAATGTTTCTAAGGGAAATATATCAATCGAAATCTTTAAAAAAAATTGATTGATCGAAAAGTTTTCTTACAAAAACAGATCGATTCTTTGAGAATCCTCGTTAATGTTTACAAGTCGTTAGATATGAATTAGCAAGAGACGGAAATATGTTTCATAATATATAATAAACAAAACATAATTAATCAGAACCTTCGATCCTTTAAATTTAGCTAAGCTTAAAGTTGAGTTTAAGGTAATAAATTCAAATACAATTCAAACATTAATTTCGACTAGGGTGATCGATTATTCGACATTTTCCAAAAACCGGTTTTCGAATAGTTCGAACAGTTGACATTTCAAAAAAACCGGTTGATATTTTTCAAATTCAGAAAAAACCGGTTAACCGGTTTTTCATTAAAAAAATATATTTTAATTTGAAAAACTTAATGTTTATGTTTAAATTTGATTAATAAAACATGGCCCGAAATGATTTTTAACAGTTTAAAAGATTATAACTTTAGATCTAGTCGTCTGATTTACATTATTTCTTTAATATAAAAAAATTAGGAAAAAAGTGAGACACTTCTGTTAAACATGTAATCCTAGCTTATTTTAAAAGCCCTGTTTAGGAAATTTGAATAGGCATTCCAACACTTCCATAAAATTTCAGACGTAAATTAATTATTGTAATTGGAATATAATCTTAAGATTGCTAAATTTTATCAAACAGTTATCCATTTTACAAATAATTTTTAATTAATTAGGAAAATCAAAAAAGTTTAACCAAAAGAGCTGTAGAAAAATATACTCTAGTTCCTCGACTCGAATGATTTTAAAATTTAGACGGGCTGTATTATTATTTACTTAAAAATTTCATTTAAATAATCTTTGAATACAAAGCAAATAAAAGTATTCGAAACTGGTTTTTAAAAAGTGAAAAAACCGGGTTATTCGATATTAGAAAAATCAACATTTAGAAAAAACCGACACTGGTAAAGCAGAAAAAACCGGTTTTAAAACCGGTTGAAAAATCGAGTCGATCACCCTAATTTCGACAAAGCACAAACTAAAGACAAGACTTACCCACCCAACTCATCGACCTCTGTCAATAATCCTCGATTACAAAATCTTCGCTGTGAATATTCCCAAAGTCTCCTAACAATGATCTCATTTTTTACTATATACATATGTGTGTGTTATATATTATTTACTAAGTGGTTAATGGTTTTCTATATTTCATTTGTAAATAATTTGTTTTATGTATTTTTCTATATTTTTTCTAATCCCTTAAATCAAACTATTAATTGTGTGTGTTGCGCCTAAATGCATGGTGGAACATCTAAAACTGAATATCATCATTATCTTTATGTGTCTTATGTATATTTGTAATTATCTGTGTTTATATATATGTAACCATAATAATGATGCTTAAAAATCCTCGTGCTAAATTCCTTGTCCAAACAATAAAAACAAAAAAAAAAAAAAACAAAATGTCATAAAGATAATGCCCATGCAACATCATCAGCAAATGCATCATATTCCCAATAAATATGAACCACCACGTTATATGTGTCCCAATAATTTGTTTATACAACAACAGCAACAACAACAACAACTCCAACAGAATTACCAGCACTACCAACAACAGCAGCAACAACAATATCCTCTCTACTCCCAACAACCACAACCTCCTCTACCAGCCCTACCACCCAAACCTGCCACCTTAACAACGAGTCTAAAACAGAATACACCTCTTCTACGATCATACATGAAGCCTCTACCGAAGCTACCAACTGAACTGGAAGAGAGTCGCGAAATGTCTTCCACAGATGATTTAAGTTCACGACCTCATTCGCCCTCAATGAGTTCGTCCGACGAAAGCTATTCCAAAACCACCGAGGGAGAGGGTGAAGAAGACTCACCTCGCATAACAGCAACTAATAATCTTGTCACCCGTAATGGTGGCAATCCCTTACAATGGCTTTATCCCTGTGACATACAAGTGGATCCCACCTCACCTGTCATCGATATGTCCAATCTAAAAGATTTCGAAGTGAGCTCCACAACAGAAAGTCAGGGTCAGTATACTACCACAACGCAAAATAAGGGAGACTCTTGTAATAGTTTTGAATATCAAGATCGTTTAGTATTGGCCCAAGGCAAACAGGGTAATGCTAATGGTCAGACATCGGTTAGTGGCAATCAAAATGCCACCAAATCACCATTTGAGAGGGAATTGCAAAGACTTTTAAATGAATCCTCTAGAGCTAGAGGTTTAGCTACAACAACACACAATTCAACAGCAGCCACAGCGTCCTCGTCGACGGGTGGCAATATAACATCCGTATCGGGGGGCAATGCAGAAGGTGGCAACACCACCAGCAACAGCAGCAGTCGCAACAACATAGACATCAGCTACTCTGGCAGTAATAGTAAATTAAGTTCAAATGGTCTGAATGTGGCCGCTGGCATTGGAGGAAGTGGTAGTCTGGGCAGTAATGGTAACTTGAGCGGCAGTACTCCTCTCAGTGGCAACAATAATTTGAAGAATGTTACCACAGCCATGGCAGCCACTATATTGGATGAATTAAATTCACCCACAACGGGAAGACAACTGGGATCGAAGATACCTGTGAGTACAAGCTTTATGATAGCCAAACATCCGGTGGGGCTAGAGGCTATAAAGGAGATAACTAGAAATAAAAATCCTTCAGAATCCAGTCAAATGTAAGTTTCAAAACTTCAGCAAATTTTTTTAAATTTTCAAATAAATACTTCCCATTTACTAACAGGCAAACATCCGACACCGAATCATGTGAAATATTACATGAAACACGTAATCAATTAAATTTGGCCATGATGGATATGACCAATAAATCTTCGACCTCTACTAATGGTACAAACTACAACAATTATCCTCAGCATATACAAAATCAACAGCAGCAACAGACACAACAACAGCAACCAATTGCAACCAAAGAACATAATCATCGTCATCGTATGCGACCACGTTCCAAAGATTTCGATCAAAGTCACGAAAGTCTTGATCAATTAGACGATCCGGCGGATAATAAAAATTCGCGCTATAATCGTCATCATCATCACCACCACCATCATCATCATACAAATCATCATGGTCACAATCATCAGCGACAACGGAACAATCATCAGCATCTTGTCAATAATCACGATGAAGATGAACGTGACGATACCGAAGATAATTTGGCCGATGAAGAATTTGAAGATGATGAAGTGGGACGTGATGTACGTAAGAAACGTTTAGCGCAGCCCGACATGGTCAATAATCACCATCATCAACAGCAGCAGCAGCAGCAACAAAATCATCATCAACATGGACCATATCATAGTGAAGATGATTTAGACGATGAGGAGGATCATGAATGCGGTCCTGAGCAGGCTTTGGTCGGAGCTTTATCGAATGGTTTGAACGATCATCGCAACGATTTAATGGAAGCGAATGTGATAAATGATGAGCTCAAATATGGTGCCGGACATCATAATCATCAATCGATGGACTCGAATCATTTGGAAAGTCAATCCGAGTGGTCGGATGATGATTGTAGGGAAGAAGCTACAGGTAAGTGTTGTATGAGATATTTGTAATTAAATGAAATTTTATATTGATGGAGCAAAAAAAAATTAAAAAATCTTTTAGTCTAAAAGTTTTTGAAATAAAATTAATTGATCGAAAAGTTTTCTAAAGAAATCTATTCGATCGAAAAGTTTTCTAAAGAAATCTATTCGATCGAAAAGTTTTCTAAAGAAATCTATTCGATCGAAATGTTTTCTAAAGAAATCTATTCGATCGAAAAGTTTTCTAAAGAAATCTATTCAATCGAAAAGTTTTCTAAAGAAATCTATTCGATCGAAAAGTTTTCTAAAGAAATCTATTCAATCGAAAAGTTTCCAAAGAAATCTATTCGATCGAAAAGTTTTCTAAAGAACTCTATTCTATCGAAAAGTTTTCTAAAAAAATCTATTCGATCGAAAAGTTTTCTAAAAAAATCTATTCGATCGAAAAGTTTTCTAAAGAAATCAATTCGATCGAAAAGTTTTCTAAAGAAATCTATTCGATCGAAAAGTTTCCTAAAGAAATCTATTCGATCGAAAAGTTTTCTAAAGAAATCTATTCGATCGAGAAGTTTTCTAAAGAAATCTATTCAATCGAAAAGTTTTCTAATGAAATCTATTCGATCGAAAAGTTTTCTAAAGAAATCTATTCGATCGAAAAGTTTTCTAAAGAAGTCTATTCGATCGAAACGTTTTCTAAAGAAATCTATTCGATCGAAAAGTTTTCTAAAGAAATCTATTCGATCGAAAAGTTTTCTAAAAAAATCTATTCGATCCAAAAGTTTTCTAAAGAAATCAATTCGATCGAAAAGTTTTCTAAAGAAATCAATTCGATCGAAAAGTTTTCTAAAGAAATCAATTCGATCGAAAAGTTTTCTAAAGAAATCAACTCGATCGAAAAGTTTTCTAAAGAAATCAACTCGATTGAAAAGTTTTCTAAAGAAATCTATTCAATCGAAAAGTTTTCTAAAGAAATCTATTCGATCGAAGAGTTTTCTAAAGAAATCTATTCGATCGAAAAGTTTTCTAAAAAAATCTATTCGATCGAAAAGTTTTCTAATGAAATCTGTTCGATCGAAAAGTTTTCTAAAGAAATCTATTCAATCAAAAAGTTTTCTAAAGAAATCTATTCAATCGAAAAGTTTTCTAAAGAAATCTATTCGATCGAAATGTTTTTTTAAGAAATCTATTCGATCGAAAAGTTTTCTAAAGAAATCTATTCGATCGAAAAGTTTTCTTAAGAAATCTATTCGATCGAAAAGTTTTCTAAAGAAATCTATTCGATCGAAAAGTTTTCCAAAGAAATCTATTCGATAGAAAAGTTTTCTAAAGAAATCTATTCAATCGAAAAGTTTTCTAAAGAAATCTATTCGACCGAAAAGTTTTCTAAAGAAATCTATTTGATCGAAAAGTTTTCTAAAGAAATCTATTCTATCGAAAAGTTTTCTAAAGAAATCTATTCGATCGAAAAGTTTTCTAAAGAAGTCTATTCGATCGAAAAGTTTTCTGAAGAAATCTATTCAATCGAAAAGTTTTCTAAAGAAATCTATTCGATCGAAAAGTTTTCTAAGGAAATCTATTCAATCGAAAAGTTTTCTAAGGAAATCTATTCGATCAAAAAGTTTTCTAAAGAAATCTATTCAATCGAAAAGTTTTCTAAAGAAATCTATTCGATAGAAAAGTTTTCTAAAGAAATCTATTCGATCGAACAGTTTTCTAAAGAAGTCTATTCAATAGAAAAGTTTCCTAAAGAAATCTATTCAATCGAAAAGTTTTCTAAAGAAATCTATTCAATCGAAAAGTTTTTTTAAAGAAATCTATTCGATCGAAGAGTTTTCTAAAAAAATCTATTCGATCGAAAAGTTTTCTAAAAAAATCTATTCGATCGAAAAGTTTTCTAAAGAAATCAATTCGATCGAAAAGTTTTCTAAAGAAATCAACTCGATCGAAAAGTTTTCTAAAGAAATCTATTCGATAGAAAAGTTTTCTAAAGAAATCTATTCGAGTTAAAAGTTTCTAAAGAAATTTATTCGATTGAAAATCTTTATAAAGAAATCCATTCAATCGTCTATTACGTATGAGTGTTATAGATATTATGACAGATAAAATATTAAGTATACGCATTAAAATTTAAATTTCCATCAATGTTATTTCAATTCTTAGGTGGTGCTGAATCCACTGGCTATATCACCGATGAACCGGGTTTGGAAAATATATCTCTATTAAATGAGGCAGGTTTAACCGATGCCGAAGGTGCTTTATCCGATGTCAATTCTTTATATAATGCCCCAGATGTAGATGATACATCTGTGTCCAGTCGTGCCAGTTCCAGACTATTAAGTTTAGATTCATTAAGTGGTTTATATGATTGTGATATGGATTCAAAACATGAAATGGCCATTGTAAATGTATCACATAAAATAACCAGTAAATTTGGAACACCACAACAGCAGCAACAACAACAACAACAACACCAGCAATCACAACATCAACAACACCAACAGCAGCAACAACAAAGTTAATTAAACCTTTAACGATTACTTTAATAAATGCTAGTATATTTGATAAGCAAGAGAAAAGAGAAAGTGAGCAACTCACCCATAAACAACATGCTCTCCTTAAATTAGAAATTAAGACAGAAAAATTAAAAAATTTTTTTCAAAATCAATTTTCCTTTAGATGTATGTGTGCATATATTCAAAACCAAGATGATATAAAGAAAACCTAAAATTTATTTAAAAATGGTGTCTATTAACAACTTAATACTACTTAATTAGATGTGTATGTGTTAAATATATATTTAAAGAAAAAAGTAAAAATAAATAAAGTATTTTTTGATAGCAGTATATTTAGATTTAACCAAAAAAAAAAAAAAAAATACACAATTTATCAAAAAGATTATAAAGTAAATCTTCATAAAAGGTACATAAACTTTAAGTTAGCAAGTCAAGTCAAAGAAATATTTAAGTTAATTAGAAATTTTGAATTGTTAAAGTAACTACTAAAAGGCAACAATATTGCTGCTGTATACATGTATCTAAATATCTAATGCTTTATAAACAATGCTTAATTAAACTAAGTTTTCAAAAATTAAAAAAAAAAAAAAAAAACAAACGATAAAATATAAAACAAGAGAACCCCATAATTGAAAATTGCGTTTAAAAAAAAATTACAAAAATATTTCCAAGAAAATACAATTACAGTAAACAAAATGTGGCGCTTCATGACAAAATTAAGTTTTTGTTAAAAAAAAACATAAAATTCAATTTTAAATAAAACAAACCTCTCAATTGCTTTACTTAATTATAATATTATAATTAATACATTTTTATAATTATTTTTTAATTTTTTTTACAATAACATACTTAAATTAGGTTTAAATTACAAAATAATTTCTTGTAAAATTATCTATTAAAAAGTAAAAAAAAACGCCAAGCGTTTGTTTTTTTGTTTATTTTACATTAACATTTATTATTTGCTCATAATGCTTCCAATTATTATGAATATTTTTATATTTTCTCCCAAATATTAAGAAAAAACAAAAAATCTTTAAGCAAAATGGCATTCTTTAAACTCCTCCTTAACAAAGATCTATATCAAGAAATAACATACTTATTCATGCACAACTAATCTAACAAAATGTTATCACTAATTATTGCTGTATATAGTTAATTAAACTACTTTATATGTGTTTTAATTTCTTTTGTTTGTTTTTAGTTCTAAAGTCATTATTATAGTTTGTATAATTAAAAAAACAAATTCAAACAGAATATTAAAAATTATATTAAAGCATATTATTATAAAGAAATATTAAGTAAAACACTATTCATATGGAAAAAAAAAGAATGTAAACTATAATGTAATTCATAATCATGAATTTAAGTTATTTACCAATATAATAAATACATTAAAAAAATCAAGAGAAAATGATTAGAACCTATAAATATACAAAATAATTTGTCTTATGTTTTATTATGTTTTAGATACATTTATTAACTGTAAGTAACATAATGATATAGTTATTAATTCTCACTCTAGTAGTTTCAGTAGTTTTCTGAGTTATAGAGGTTTAAAACTTCACACAATTTTAGCAAAAGTTAACACATGTTCTTTACAACACCCCTTTTAGCTTTGAGCTAGCTAAACATAATCGAACATTAGGTGGATTTAACATGGTACTTTTCTTTTAAACTCTATAACTCGAAAACTAAGGAAAATAAACGATATCTGTATCTGACATCTTTTAGCTTAGGAAATGATTTATCATTTGGATAAGATTGTTTTTTCTCTTATGCCACGCTTATCATGAAAAAAGTGGGAGTTTTACTTTAATAAGCTTATAATAACATAACGAAGAAGCGTTTTTAAAAATTAATAATAGCGTCTTGTAGACAATATCGTTTTTCATAAACATGCCAAATTTGGATGTGATAGCTTCAATAATAGGTATACTATGGACAAAACTGTGATTTTAAGATTCAACCAAATTAAGCTGTTTTTATGGCTTTGTCACCAATTAGTTTCAAGCGTTGTAGCTCAGAAACTATAGAAGCGTTTTAAACAATTTCTTCTTTATATGATAGATTTGGAAATCTAGTTTTGTTACATGTAAAAATTTCATACTACAGACTCACCTTCTTCGAAATACTTTAAATTTTCGTTTTAAAACGCTCCCGAAACTTAGTGGTATTTTCAATATGTAATAACTTCTAAACCAGTGAAGCTTTTTTCGAAATTTCTTTACTGTAGCGCAGATTTTTAAATAAGCTTTCATATGTTATACAATTTTTGAAAACTGCCACGCCCATTTTGCTTTTTACAGCATTTTGAAGTTTAAACGCTTATAAAACAGGAGATTGAGGAGCGTTGTAATTTTTTTTTTAATTGTTCTGAATTGTCGTATCTTTCTCTACATCCATGCCAAATTTCATCCATATAGCTTAAAATCTCTAGCTGTTATAAGCTATTTTCTGAATTTTTGTTTATTCCACAAAAAGTGATTTTTCAAAAATCCTATTTTTTTTGTAAAGTACTAGGAAAACATAATCGAACAGTAGGTGGATTTCACATCGTACTTTTCTTAAAAACGCTATAACTCGGAAACTAAGGAAGATAAATGAACTTTGCTTTTGACATCTAATAGCTTAGGAATTGAGCTATCATTTAAATCTACAATTTTTTCCCAAATGCCACGCCCATTATGAAAAAAGTGGGCGTTTTACTTTAAAACGCTTGTAAAAACGGCATTTAAAAGAGTTTTTAAAAAGTAATGATGACATCTTTTAGGCCATATTATTTTGTATAAACATGTTAAATTTTACAGTCATAGCTCTAATATTGGCTACGCTTTGAACAAACCTGTGATTGTTTGATTTTTCCACAAAAAGCTGTTTTGTTTCTTTATCGTATTTCTTTTGTAAACGTTATAGCTCCGAAACTACCAAAGCGATTCACAAAATTTCTTTTTTATGTAAAAGCTTGAGAAATGGACTTTTACACGAAACCAACATTTTTGTAAAACTGCCACGCCCATTATGAAAAAAGTGGGCGTTTAACTTTAAAACGCTTATAATTACATAACGAAGAAGCGCTTTAAATAATTAATGATAGGATATTGTAGACAATATATTCTTTCATAAACATGCCAAATTTCAAGGTCATAGGTTTATTGTTGGGCATACTATGGACAAAACTTTGATTTTAAGATTCAACCAAATCAAGCTGTTTTTATGGCTGTATCACCTATTAGTTTCAAGCGTTGTAGCTCAGAAACTACTGGAGCGTTTTAAACAATTTCTTCTTTATATAATAGATTTGGAAATCTAGTTTTGTTGCATGTTAAAATTTCATCCTACAGACTCACCTTTTTCGAAATACTTTAAATTTTCGTTTTAAAACGCTCCCGAAACTTAGTGGTATTTTCAATATGTAATAACTTCTAAACCAGTGAAGCTTTTTTCGAAATTTCTTCACTGTAGCGTAGATTTTTAAATGAACTTTCATATGTTATACAATTTTTAAAAACTGCCACGCCTCTTTTGCTTTTTACAGCATTTTGAAGTTTAAACGCTTATAAAACAGGAGATTGAGGAGCGTTGTAAATTTTTCTTAAATGTTCTGAATTGTCGTATCTTTCTCTACATCCATGCCAAATTTCATCCATACATCTTAAAATCTCTAGCTGTTATAAGCTATTTTCTGAATTTTTGTTTATTCCACAAAAAGTGATTTTTCAAAAATCCTATTTTTTTTGTAAAGTACTAGGAAAACATAATCGAACAGTAGGTGGATTTCACATCGTACTTTTCTTAAAAACGCTATAACTCGGAAACTAAGGAAGATAAATGAACTTTGTTTTTGACATCTAATAGCTTAGGAATTGAGCTATCATTTAAATCTACAATTTTTTCCCAAATGCCACGCCCATTATGAAAAAAGTGGGCGTTTTACTTTAAAACGCTTGTAAAAACGTTGTTTATAAGAGTTTTTAAAAAGTAATGATGACATCTTTTAGGCCATATTCTTTTGTATAAACATGTTAAATTTTACAGTCATAGCTCTAATATTGGCTACGCTTTGAAGAAAACTGTGATTGTTTGATTTTTCCACAAAAAGCTGTTTTGTGGCCTTATCGTATTTCTTTTGTAAACGTTATAGCTCCGAAACTACCAAAGCGATTCACAAAATTTCTTTTTTATGTAAAAGCTTGAGAAATGGACTTTTACATGAAACCAACATTTTTTAAAACTGCCACGCCCATTATGAAAAAGTGGGCGTTTAACTTTAAAACGCTTATAATTACATAACGAAGAAACGTTTTAAAAAGATAATGATAGCATATTGTAGACAATATATTTTTTCATAAACATGCCAAATTTCAAGGTCATAGGTTTATTATTGGGCATACTATGGGCAAAACTGTGATTTTAACATTCAACGAAATCAAGCTGTTTTTATGGCTTTGTCACCAATTAGTTTCAAGCTTTGTAGCTCAGAAACTATAGAAGCGATTTAAACAATTTCTTCTTTATATGATCGATTTGGAAATCTAGTTTTGTTACATGCAAAAATTTCATCCTACAGTTTCACATTCTCCGAAATATTTAAAATTTTCGTTTCAAAACGCTCCTGAAACTTAGTAGTATTTTCAATATGTAATAACTTCAAAACCAGTGAAGCTTTTTCCGAAATTTCTTCACTGTAACATAGATTGTAAAATCAATTTTCATATGTTATGCAAGTTTTGAGAATTGCCACGCCCATTTTGCTTTTTATAGCATTTTTAAGTTTAAACGCTTATAAAACAGGAGATTGAGGAGCGTTGTAAATTTTTCTTAAATGTTCTGAATTGTCGTATCTTTCTCTACATCCATGCCAAATTTCATCCATATAGCTTACAATCTCTAGCTGTTATAAGCTATTTCCTGAATTTTTGTTTATTCCATAAAAAGTGATTTTTGAAAAATCCTATTTTTTTTGTGAAGTACTAGGAAAACATAATCGAACAGTAGGTGGATTTCACATCGTACTTTTCTTTGAAACGCTATAACTCGGAAACTAAGAAAGATAAATGAACTTTGTTTTTGACATCTAATAGCTTAGGAATTGAGCTATTATTTGGATCTACAATTTTTTCCCAAATGCCACGCCCATTATGAAAAAAGTGGGCGTTTTACTTTAAAACGCTTGTAAAAACGGCATTTGAAATAGTTTTTAAAAAGTAATGATGACATCTTTTAGGCCATATTCTTTTGTATAAACATGTTAAATTTTACAGTCATAGCTCTAATATTGGCTACGCTTTGAAGAAACCTGCGATTGTTTGATTTTTCCACAAAAAGCTGTTTTGTGGCCTTATCGTATTTCTTTTGTAAACGTTATAGCTCCGAAACTAGCAAAGCGATTCACAAAATTTCTTTTTATGTAAAAGCTTGAGAAATGGACTTTTACATGAAACCAAAATTTTTGTAAAACTGCCACGCCCATTATGAAAAAAGTGGGCGTTTAACTTTAAAACGCTTATAATTACATAACGAAGAAGCGTTTTAAAAAATTAATGATAGCATATTGTAAACAATATATTTTTTCATAAACATGCCAAATTTCAAGGTCATAGGTTTATTATTGGGCATACTATGGGCAAAACTGTGATTTTAAGATTCAACGAAATCAAACTGTTTTTATGGC